TATGCAAAGGACCCGGTCTTATAAATCGGTCTAGACAGAAAATGAAACAATATTTTGGACCGGACTGGACCGGACCGGACCGATCCAACCCTAACCAGGAATCGAACGATAATTATTTACCGTGTTAATATTAATTATGATCTTTTTATTATTCGCGATAACCGTTGAGACATACCGTGTAACTATCCAATGTAAGAATCGGTTAATCATTTTTACGTTTCCGAGCAATCTAGATTATTATGGAAAGAATTACAAATGGAAACCGAGGGCTAAGTAACAGAGAGTTTTTTTTGGTAAATTTTATATGCAAAGAAATATATATATGTATAAACATCTGAATAAGTAAATAAAAAAAAATGGTTTTAAAGAAAATCCCTAGAAGACTTGAAAAAGAGAATTAAGGAGTTAGAGAAAAGTAATGAAGTGTTACGATCACTATTTGAAGAAACCAAAGTCAATATTAATAATTTAGAAGAAAAGGTTGAAGAAGAAGCCAAAACCAAACAAGAAATTATTAATATTTTAGAAGAGAAGGTTAGAGTGCAAGAAGAAGAAACCAAAGTCAATATTACTAATTTGGAAGAAAAAGTTAAAGAACTAGAAGTTATATCCAAAAAATAGCAAGAAATTATTAATAAATTAGAAAAGAGAATTCAGAAATCTTGAATTAACAATTTATGATGATACTACAGACAGTGATTTTACCAAAAATGGAAATAAATTCTAGAATTTTCTATTGTGAATTCTTGGATTTGATTGGCTCTTGATAATTTCTTTTGATCAAGAATTGTGAAACTTTTCAATGTTGATCTTCATTAATAGCACATATCCGAAGAGAATTGAAAACTTTAAAGTTTCATAATCAGCTAATACTTTTTCATAATCAGCCCTTTTTGAAAAGGTAAATGAGAACCGAAAAAATATAAGAAATTGCATTTAAATTTTATTTAAATTTAATAAATAACTTTCTAAAAAAATTTTGTTGTCAGAATTCAAGAAAAATGTCGTAGTCTGATAAACTTGCTAGAATAAGACAAAGAGCTAAAGATCTTCTATATTTATTTGTTAACCTAGTTAGTAAATATAGTGAATTAGGACTAAAATCCTATATAATAAAGGAGAAACTAACTTGAAACATGTCAATACTGAAGAAACGGCTAAGAAGCATGCACTTTATTATAATTTTATATCTGAACTTACGTATCTTCATTTTTCTCTAGATTCTTATTTGATTTTTGAAAAACATTACAACCAAATTATATTTCCTAATCATTTTTATCAACAGATGTCAGACGATTTTATTTATGCAAATAAAAGAATTCAGATTGATAATAATAATTCGCATGATTCTAATGTCTATCAAGAAATAATAGCTGACAATAAATCACACTTATTAGAAATTAAAATAACTGAAGAATTACTAGAAAGAGATCAAGATAAAGCCAAAGAAAATAAGAAACTTGATGATTCAGATATTAAAGAAAAAATAACAAATCTCCAAACACAATTATTGGAAATAGAAAAAAAGTTTAGAAAATAGTAAATATATTGCAGAATTATAACAACAAATAAAAAATCAAAGACAAAAATGACAGAATTGAAGATATAATTAGATAAATATTATAATAAAATAGATAATTTAAAGGGTTTATATATTAAAAAATGTGAAGAGAATGAAAATCTTGTCAAACAATAGAATTCCCAATATTCTGATCAGCATAATTGCATACAAGCAATTATTAATATAGCATTAATTAAATGAGAATTTTATATAGAATCATTATATTTTTAATTAAGATAATAATAGGTTTTCCTTAAAAAATCTATTGAGTTATTTTCTGCAAATGTAGCTAAGTAAATGTAATTAAGTTGTTATAAAATTTATAGAAATATTAACTTACAATAATTTTAATACAGATTTTTAAATGCTAAGAAATTTATAAAAAGGCAATGGCCATTGACTTAATATACAGATCTAGGTACAAAAAATATGTATCTAAAGTGAATCTTTTAGTATTTACTATTAAATATTTAATTGTGTGATCGAAAATAATTATTAATGCTAATAGTTATATTACATGCTCAGGAAGTTATTCTTATTTTTAAAGCTGGCTAAACAAACTATCTGAAAGAGAAGAATCTTTATCTGAAGGACTTTGTTTATAGCTTTTAATAATAAATAGAAAAAACAACAAAATTATCTTGACCGAGAAAATAATATAGTGATATTTCATATTGTTACTAGTTTTGTTGCATTTAATATAAAACCTCAGAATCATATTTAGTATACTAATATATTTTGAATATCTAATTTTTTTAGTTAATTACAGTATGAAAAACTTTTTGAGATTACATCTGAAATGCAAGAAGCGATAAATCAAGAATTACATACCATATTTATCTTACTGAAATTCTGAAGTTATTATATAGAGAAAAATCATCAACAACTAATATTATTGATTCTTTTATAGATAATTTAGGATCAAATAATTATTACAACAAGCAATAAGCTAGTTGTGAAGAATGAAATATCAATAATCAAAAGCAAAATTGTCTTAAGTACAAAAATCACCTGCTCATACTAGCAGAATTACCTAATCAGTATATTTCTGAATTAGATAAAAGCAATGCAGATAAATCAACTATTTATAAGCCATATTATATTGAAAAAAAAACTACAATACTTATTACACTAAGAATAAGTATTACTCAAAAATCGTCTGCAAATTGAAAAGTTAATATTCTAGAAATATTTGTTCTTGATCCTTTTAATATTAATTAAATTTAATAGCAAATGTTGAAAAAGTTCTTTCTCATGCTAAAAAGATTGCAGAAATTGAAGATGGAACGCGCAAATGAGTAGCTATTACTTGTGATAGCATTTCATATTACTGTATATATAAAATTAAAAAAAAAGTACCCTTGGCTGATTCTTATTCCTAGATAATTACATGAAGAGATAAATATGCTTCAAGCGTATGTAGAATTAAATTAGTAAATTTTGTATTACATTTATTACATTTACTGTTCAATATATATTTATATAACTTTTTTGATTATTTAAAAGAACGTTAATATTAAACAATTTGCAATATACCAAGAGTATAAAATTGAGAATCAGCTTACTTACTTTAAGAAATGCTATGATCATTATAAGTCTTAGGATTCAGTTTATAACATTTATCGTCAAGCAATGGTTATGAAACTTATATGGCCATATATTAAGAACTTTTCTAATCTATCGGTAGAAAAATACTTGATCTAGGTAAAAGATCAAAATGATTTGCTTTATTAAATCAAATTTAAGTAGGTAACATTGTTTTATTTTTGTAAAAAATATAATAGATTTACTGCTAATTATTATTAAGTTTCATTTAATAAGTGTTTAGCTATCTTTAAGCTATCATCAATTATCTCTTAAACTGTAAAGCAGGCAAATTTGCCTGCAAACATAAAAAAAAAGCATTAATTTTTAATAAAAAATAAAATATTAATGTTAATAATATAATTATTATATAAAAAATATAGTTTAATATATATT